TTCATTTCTCTTCACAAGTATTCTAACTCTAGATGTTAGTCCAAGGGGAGGGTGGTCATAGAGCTTCTGATGAGTGAGAACCAGACACTGTTGGTCATCATCTGTGCTACACTTCACAACTAGAAACCCTTTTAGGTTAATAAAAAGACAGGAGTACAAGAGATCAGTGTCTATAGTAGCTTGGGGGCTTTCTTGACAAGTGTGTCTGGTGCCTGCTACACTCGAGATAGTCTCAAGGCTACAATAGACAAAGCGTCTAGAGACAGGAATGGATCCAATTAGTTATGTGGGTGGTTTTATATCTGTAATACGCATGCGCATTACTCCCTCATGGACAAAAATCACAAAATGGCTGCCACCAACTGAGTGTTTTTCATATTTCTAGTGCTGTCTTTGTGGTTCCAGGCCTTTTTGCCTTGTTTGCATGAGTTGGATCACTGATTAGACTAATAGAACCTTGCACTAGGTAATTTATTCTCAGACTGCTATAAATTATGCCTTTTTATATACTGTGACTATTGTAATCACCTATATGTATATAGAATGTATCTTCTAATTATTCTTGTGTGAGGAAATGGGTTTTTTAGTCTTTCCTGGGTTCAGAACTGTAAGTAATATGTCTGTCAATTTAAGCCTCATTATGGGGAATATGAGGGATTTAATAGGAGGTTCATCACTCTGAGAATGCCCCAGGGTAGGGATTTTTCTCCAACAAGCCTATAGGAAGACTTCGCTAGTTTGACCAAGTTACGTTTCAAAAATGCTAAGTTTACCCAGCAGAGCTGAGTTCAGTAGCAGTTGAGTGGTTGTTTAACGTTCCTTAAATTTAGTAGGGGATTTGACTGAAGGGAACGGCCCCAGAGGTAGTGATTTAATTAATTAATTAATTTGAAACCCCAACTATGCCCCATTATGACCTGTAATGGGATAGTGGAGCTTGATATTGATAAGTACACGATAAATTTATTGTAAATGTCTGCTGTTTTATATATTTATTTTTTTATAGACATTTTATACCTTGCCAGCGAATTGGATCACAAGAGGTTGCTCATGAGTTTTTGCTTACATGTGTAGTAGGAGACTAGGAGCTCAAGTAGGTACAAGGTTGAGCTGTAAGCTGTGTATAATTATAGACCACTAGCAGTAAAAATTGATTACATAGGAAGATTATTAGAAATTTTTACGGTTGTAAGGTGTGGTTTAGGATGAAATAAATTCAGCTGCCATTTTGGTTGACAACTTTTAATGGAGAACAAACGGGCTGGCATGAAAACAAACCTGTATTGAGAATTCTGGGGCAAATTGGACCACATCTTTTTGAGCATGCAGATCTTTTTTCTTATAACAAGCACATTTTAGCTTTTGATAGAGCTACAGCAGATAAGTGAGGCATTTTCTTCTTGCATTCATTGCCGACTTCCTTAACAAACTTGCCAACGAAAATGGCAGCCAATTATGACATGTGTATATAAAATTAATGAAATTCATTTCCAATTCTCACTTCCAGTGGTCTATAATTAGTTTTTAAGTCAGTATAGTTTTTAAATTCGTAAATTTTTTATTCATGCATTAAATAATGCAAGCAATGACATATTCCACTTTTACAGTACTTCTGACTATTAAAGCTGTTAGTTTTGTAGTTTTGAATTTACATGTATGCTATTTTTATGATAATTAGAATGTCACGAAAAGCTATCAGTATTGTTCATGGTGGTGGACGAAACTCTGGATGCTATATTTGGAGATGTTGGTACTTAATAGAATAATTATTCATGAAATGATTTATTTTATTATGCTACTAATGTTTAGAATTGTACCTAGAAATTTCTTTAATTGTAGCTAGAAATTACTGTCGCCCAAAATTTCTGTGAATTTTTCAGATTTTATTTTAGCAAAATCACCATGCCTTTCAATGTGTACTGATTTTAAAGGACTAAATTTTCACAGTTTTTGAAATCTGCATAATTAGCAGAAATTTTGGGCCACAGAAATATCTAGCTCTATGTGTATGACATTTGCAATGAAAGGTTTATTTTTAACTTCTTATCTCTGTTAAACAGATAACATTTCCCCAAGACTAGATATATTATCAACTCTTTATTTCCCTTGGTACTACTTAATGTGACACCAGTATATTTCCAGGTCAGTAAAAACTATTATTGCTGTATAAAATTTGTTTTCGTTATCTGTAGAATGACATTCCTGTCAAATTATTTTTAGAGATGAAAATAGGCTACAAAGTTCTTTGTAAACATTAATGCAAAGTACATGTACTTTTTACATTTATTATTAATATTGCTTATTCCTTGCAGACTCAACAGAGTAACCTGAAATCAAATGTGTGGCTAAACAAGCATTTATTCATGTTTGAACTGTTTTTTTTTACATTTTTGTTTGAGTTATGAACATTATAAATTGAAGTACAATTTAGTCAGTACTGCGCATGCGCAGATTGCGCCCACGCAAATAATTGGATCCATTCCTGTCTTTAACGGCATGTACAATAGAACTGGCGGCCATTTTATTATTAAAAGTAGCTGAGTACACGCCCTAGCATGGGAATGAGTCTGGAGAGTTTTAATTTTATTCTTGCCACCTATAGAGTAGTGTTGTTTTAGTTCTTTGGTACTAGAACTAAAATACAATACTAGTATTGTGATATGCATTTTAGTTCCAAGAACTAGAACAGAACTAAAATTATTTCTGACTTTGGCACTAGAACTAAAACCAAACTAAAAATATTTTTGATTTGACAACTAAAACTAAAACTAAACTAAAAATAATTATAATTTTGGAACTAGAACTAAAAAAGAACTAAAAGTATTTTTGACTTAAGAACTAAAACTAAAACTGAACTAAAAACAATTATAATTTTGGAACTAGAACTAAAAAGGAACTAAAA